TCTTTCTTTTTGCCAGAATATCCTTCCTGCCAATTTTGTGGGGTGATGGGGAAGAAGGATAATGTAGTGTTTAGTTTACTGTTTGAAACCAAAGGCCCAAACTTTAGATATCGTAAGCAGCTTCTGTTAGTGAAAATCTGAGTCTAAAATGCTTACTAGTGCCACGCTATAATTCTTATATATTTCTTTAATAAGAATATGTGAATTTTCCATTTAAAATAAAAAATAAGGTTTTTTTTCCTGTTTACAAAAGTAACAGATGTGGAGTATTACAGAAAGTGACATTTTTTTTTTTAATTTTTTTTTTAACGTTTATTTATTTTTGAGACAGAGACAGAGCATGAACAACGGGGGAGGGTCAGAGAGAGGGAGACGCAGAATCTGAAACAGGCTTCAGGCTCTGAGCTGTCAGCACAGAGCCCGACGCGGGGCTCAAACTCACGGACCGTGAGATCATGACCTGAGCCGAAGTCGGCCGCTTAACTGACTGAGCCACCCAGGCGCCCCCAGAAAGTGACATTTTTAATAGTTTCTTCAAGAAATCTAGAGTGCTTTTGAAGATGGATATGGAAAACTTTATTATTTTTTGTTGTTGAAATGTTTTTGAATTGTTATTGCATGTGGAATGGAGTAGAAGTAAGAATTAAGCTTAAGTGCAATTTGTAAAATTGAGGCAAAAGGCCGTTAACATAGATATATTTAGTGTAAGTTTCAATTAATCCCCTGATTGTTAGGAACTAACTCCTCAGGTACAAGTTTCCATTTTTATTTTTTAGGGGAAAAGTCAAAAATACTTTAATTCAGCTAAAGTAATGCCTAGTTTCAGTTTTGTAACTTCATGCCAGCAAAATGTTTTGAAAAAAAATTTTTTGGTGCCAATAAACCATCTCTTGGAACCTGAATTCCCTTTCCATCTAAATAATAACATTCCAGATATTCATGTAAAATTTTCTTCAGGACAGATATGGGAGGATATGTGAGAATTTTTCACATTGCTAAAATTCCCCAATATTTATACCCAGATACATGTTTTTTATATTTTGGTTTGGGTTTTTCTTTTTCCTTATAACTATAAAAGCAGTGTATATTGGAAAAATACATAGTATATAATGACAGTAAAAGTGTTCTAACTGTGCCTCCATAACTATTATTTATAGTTTGATGTATGTTCTTCCATTTTTTCTAATTATAAACATTTTATATATAAACATTTTTCCTTATCTTTAGTATGTAATAAAAATTATATTTGTAAAAGTCAATAAAGATTAATAGAAATTTTGCCTTTGAATATTCCTAGAATGCAGTATTTGGAAACCACCAAGAAAATTCAGTGAAACATTTTTACTCATACTTTTCACACATTTCTGCTTCAAGCTTGGTCTCTGTTGTGTCAGTCCAGAGGACTTTTGTGCTTAGGACATAGTATTTACCCTCCTTGTGCTGATGACACCCATTTCGTGGAAGTAATGCTTCTCTATCAGTATTTCCTTATTTCCTTCTTCCAGTCCACTCCTATTATAATCATAACAACTTCCTAATTGATCCATGTATCTCAGGAGTCTGTCTGTGCTACACGTAAGTACTAATTTAATATTACTGAAAGTGCCCATACTATTACTGCTCTCACCCTCCAGAGTCTGATCTTAACAGAAATCTCAACTTTGAAGAGACCCAGTACATTATCTAGCTCTACTTTGAAATTTTGGATAAGAAAACTGAGGTCTAAAAAAGCTTCTTGCAAGGGAGTACCTGACTGGCTCCATCGGAAGAGTGTGCGACTCTTGATCTCGAGGGTCGTGAGTTCAAGCCCCATGTTAGGTATAAAGATTACTAAAAAAACAAAACAAAACAAAAAAAAACCTTGATAAAATAAAAGTTTCTTGCATGAAATCGCTTAGTTAATTGAGGAAAGGTAAACTAAAACAAGATTTTCTACTTCTATTTTATTTCCAATGCTTATTCATATTTAAGTTCCTAGATTGGCCTTCAAAAACCTATGGAACACAAAGATCTGATTTCTGTATTATAAATAGTCAAAACTTAGATTGTGATGATGATTTTACAGTGAATATTTTAAATGAGTGAATTGTATGGTATATGAATTATCTCTGTAAAGCTGTTTAAAAGTCAGTAACAGATTTGAATGTATAACTGGGAGGTAAAACAACATTATGAAGAGTGAAAAGCATAGTGGATGTGGAAAATAAAAGAAATGGGGAAATACATAGTTTCTAGTATGCTTTGTAATCAGAGTAATATTTTGTAATACCTTACAGCATAGATTTTATAAGCGTGATATCCTTGAGTATTGAAAACCTGCCCACTGCTTCTTTTTTTTTTTTTTTTTTTTTTTTTTTTTTAAAGGTTTGTTTATTTTTGAGAGAGACAGAGACAGAATGCGAGTGGGTTGGGGCAAGAGAGAGGGAGGCACAGAATCCGACGCAGGCTCCAGGCTCTGAGCTGTCAGCACAGAGCCCAACGCGGGGTTTGAACTCACCCGACTTAAGTTGGGCACTCAACCCACTAAGCCACCCAGGCACCCCCCCACTGCTTCTGTTTTTAAGAAACAATCCTTGTCCTTGTTCTCTTCTGCTCCTAAGCTGCTTCTAGGCAAATTGTGATGATCTAGAAAGAGAAGCATATAAAATTTGGTCTTAGCATTCTTCATCTTCTCACATGCTTCTTCCTCCAACCCAGTACTCCTTCCTTTCCCTCTCTTTGGTGATTCCACTCCCATTTTGTAAAATTCAAAATTTCTTTCCCTCTCCACTGATTTCCATTCCACCCCAAAATACCAATTTTCTCGGTAGGCTCTTACTTAAGTGGGTTATTGGATTAATTTATAAGTCATACATTTCTGAAATTTGTATTTTAGAAGATTATAGAACAGGGGTCAGCACACTTCTAATATGAAGAGCCAGATGTGAATATTTTCAGTTTTGTAGGCCTTACACTGTTGCTGCAGGTATTCAACCTTGCTGTTACAGGGTGATATAGCCACAGGGTGGCTAGCTTCAACCTTGCTATTACAGGGTGATATAGCCACAGATAAAATGTAAATGAATGGATGAGACCTGATTTGACCCTAGGCAGGCTAGATCAAGCCATAGTTTGCCAGCCCATCTTAGAGAATTCTGAATTTAAAGGCTGAGTATTAAGATGTAATGGGATGGAGAAATTTAAATACAGTAAATTTAGGCAGTTACATCCTCTCCTTTTACCACTAATAAAAGTGTTGTCATTTCTTTACTATTTATTCTTCCAAGGTTATCTGAGAAATAGGGTAGAACGTTGGCACTTTTGAAAGTTTACCAAACCTCATTTAAAAAATACCAGACTTTACATACCCACTAGAGACTATTGGCATGAGGATTGAGATTATTATTCAGATTAGGTTGATGTGCATGTATGTATAAATATAAACGTTAATTGTGTATGGACGGATGCAAATTATGTGTTGTGTAGTGTGAGTCTGTATTTTAGTATATATACTATGGACTGCATTTGGATAGTCTCTAAAATATTCCAAACAAATTTATTAAAGAGGAATATGAAAGACATGAATTTCAGTACATGAGGCAAAAATAAATGCTGGATTATTTGGCCCTGCTAAAGTAGATAAAGACAAATGAAGATCAATGTGGCTAACATCTCTTGCCATAATATTCTTGATTGATTGAAATATTTTACTTAAGAGGCACCCTTGTGGCTCAGTCGGTAGACCGTCTGACTTGATTTCAGCTCAGGTCATGGTCTTACAGTTTGTTGGGTTTGAGCCCCATGTTGGGCTCTGCTAACAGCGTTGGAGACTCTCTCTACCCCCTTTCTCTCTCTCTCACAAAAATAAGTAAATATTTTTTTAAAAAAAGAAATATTTTACTTCAGTCTAATATTTACTTTGTGTTTTGAGCATATGATGATGGTTCATGTATAAAGGGAATGTAGTGTTGAAACAATGACATTGTTTTAGATTCAAGGCAATTATGTCATGATCCATAAAACTACATTTCAACTAATATTTCCATATAACAATGGTGAGAAAAATTTGCATTTGCTGTGTCAGTGTTTTGCAAATTACTGGATAATGCAGAATAACAATCACTCATTTAATAGATTTCTTAGAAAAATAAAACATTGGGGCACCTGGGTGGCTCAGTCAGTTTGGTGTCCGCCTTCAGCTCCGGTCATGATCTCGCGGTCCATGAGTTCAAGTCGCGTGTTGGGCTCTGTGCTTATAGCGCAGAGCCTGGAGCCTGCTTCTGATTCTGCCTCTCCCTCTCTCTCTCTACTCCTCCCTTGCTCACGCTCTGTGCCTCTCTGTCTCTCAAAAATAAACATTAAAAAAGAAAAGAAAAAGAAAACATTATTAACTCTGGTCAGTTTGAGCCACTCAGGAAAATAAAATGGCGTCTTATCGCCCAAAATGTTTTATTTTTACTTGGAAATTATGTCGTTTCATTGTATGTCATGAACAGATATTTTAAACAACTCTGACCTTATTAAACAAACCTGCATTTTACTTCCTGTCAGATTTGTGTTTTTCCAGGTCAACATTTGAATATTTTACCTTTACTATTAAGTTAGAACTGATCCAGATAATAAATCAGTTAACTAACACATTGACCTTTCTTCCCTCAATAAAAATGATTACATAGTATACCACTTTCTACCTCTTCCCTCCTTGTAACTCCTTCCGGATAGTTAGCATTCGTTTATTCTTTCAACAAATAGTTGGGTAATTGTTATGTGCCAGGCACTGTTTTAAGCATTGGGAACAGAATAGTGAGCCAAACTACCTCTGCCCTCATACAGCTTGTATTCTAGAGTTAGAAGAAAACAATAAGCAATTGTTTATTGTTTGATATAAAAGTTCTATAGTATGTGAGAAGATCAGTGCTGTGGACAGAAGCAGAGCAGAGTCACGAGGGATTAATCTTGTATATAGTAGTTCTACTCTTAACACAAATGTTGTCCTCTTATTTCCTCTTTTCAATTTATAGTTCCAATGACAGGATTCACACAGAGAGCAACCATTGATCCCGAACTGAATGAAATACATGTCTTATCTGGACTCAGCAAAGACAAGGAGAAGAGGGAGGAGAATGTCAGAAATTCATTCTGGATTTATGACATTGTGAGGAATAGTTGGTAAGGAGCTCTTGTCTGTGTTGCAATCCCAATGTAATATTTGTTTGAGGTTGTTGGTTTATTCAAAAGAAGAGGAATATGGAAGGCTTATGTCAATTTGTGATGTCATGCATTTAAATGTCAGTGCAGGCACACCTCATTTTATTGCACTTGGCAGATAATTGCAGTTTTTACAAGTTGAAGGTTTGTGGCAGCTTTGTGTCGAACATGTTGACATTTTTCTAGCAGTGTTGGCACACTTTGTGTTTCTTTGTCACATTTTGGTGATTCTCAGAATATTTCGAACCCTTTCATGACTGTTGTGTTTGTCATGGTCATCTGTAATCAGTGATCTTTGATGTTACCTTTGTAATTGTTTTGGGGCACCATGAGCTGCACACATAATGAGATGGCAAACATAATTGATAAATGTATGTATTCTGACCATTCCACTGACCAACTGTTCCCTCACCTCTCTCACTTTCCTTGGATCTCCTGATTCCCCGAGATATAACAATATTGAAATTAGGCCAGTTGATACCCCTACAAAGGCTTCTAATTGTTTGAGTCAAGGGAAGAAAGATAGGCCTCTTTTGCCGAACAGCCAGGTTGTGAATGTGGAGGAAATGTTCTTGGGAGAAATTAAAAGTGTGCCTCTGGTGAACACATGAATGATGAGAAAGCAAAACACCTGATGGAGAAAGTTTTAGTGGTTTGAATAGAAGATCAGACCAGCCACAATATTCCCTTAAGCCAGTGCCTGCTCCAGAGCAAGGCCCTGATTCTCTTCAATTCTGTGAAGGCTAAGAGCTGAGGAAGCTACAGAAGGAAAGTATGAAACTAGCAGAGGTTGGCTCCTGAGGTTTAACATAAGAAGCCATCTCCATAACCTAAAAGCACAAGGTGAGGCAGCAGGTGCTGATGTAGAAGCTCTAGCAAGTTATCTAGCAAGATCTAGCTATGATCATTAACAAAGTTGGCTACACTGAACAGATTTTCATTGTAGATGAAACAGCCTTCTATTGGAGGAAGATGCCATCGAGGACTTTCATAGCTAGAGAGGAGAAGTCAGTGCCTGGCTTCAAAGTTCAAAGGGACAGGCTGACTGTCTTGTTAGGGGCTAATGCAGTTGATGACTTTAACTTGAAGACCATGCTCCTTTACCATTCTCAAAATTCTAGGGCCCTTAAGAATTATACTGAATCTGCTGTGCCTGTGCTCTGCAAATGGAAAAACAAAGCCCAGAACACAGCACATCTGTTTATAACATAATTCACTGAATATTTTAAGCCAACTGTTGAGACCTACTGCTCAAAAAAAAAGATTCCTTTCATTCTAGATGCCATGAAGAGCATTCAGATTCGTGGAAAGAGGTCAAAATACCAACATGAATGGGAATTTGGAAGAAGTTGATTCCAACCTTCCTGGATGACTTTGAGGGGTTCAAGACTTCAGTGGAGGAAGTAACTGCAGATGTGGTAGAAATAGCAAGAGAACTAGAATTAGAAGTGGGACCTGAAGATATGACTGCATTGCTGCAATCTCTCATGATAAAGTGGTTTCTTGAGAAGGAATCTACTCCTGAAAGAGATGCCATGAAGATTGTTGAAATGACAACAAAGGATTTACAGTTATTGCATAAACTTAGTTAATATAGCAGTGGCAGGGTTTGAGAGGATTTACTCCAATTTTGAAAGAAGTTCTAATAGGTAAAATGTTAAACAGCATCATGTGCTACAAATAAATCATTCATGAAGAGGAATCAGTTGATGCAGCCAATTTCATTACACTTGAACCTTTACCAGCACGAGGATTCAACCCACACACAGTTGGAAATCTGTGTATAACTTGGCTTCCTAAAAACCCAACATCTGTGGCACTTAGGTGGCTCAGTTGCTTAAGGTTCCGACTCTTGATCTCAGCTCAGGTCTTGATCTTAGGGTCATGAGTTCAGACCCTGCATTGGGCTCCATGCTGGGTATGAAACCTACTTAAAACAAAACAATCCCAGGAAAAACCCAACTACTAATAGCCTACTATTGACCAGAAACCTTATCAATAACATAAATTGATAACAAAAAAAGTTGATTCACACATATTTTGTATGTTTTATATATTATTTACCATATTCTTACAATAAGGTAAGATAGAGGAAAGAAAATAGTACGAAAACCATGAGAAAAGAGAAAATATATTTACCATACTGTATTGTAAAAACTCTGCATTGTAGTGGATCCACATAGTTCAAACCAATACTGTTCAAGGGTCAACTGTATTATCTTATTTAAAGAAATTGCCACAGCTCCCCCATCCTTAAGTAACCACCACTCTTATCAGTTAACAGCCATCAATACTGAGGCAAGCCCCTCCACCAGCAAAAAAAAATTATGTCTTGTTAAAAGCTCAGAAGATGGTTAGCCTTTTTTAGCAATCACGTAGTTTTTTATTAAGGTATATGCATAGTTTTTTTTGACATATTGCTGTTGCACGCTTAACAGACTACCTTATGGTATAAAAATAACTTTTATATGCATTGAGAAGCAAAAGAATTCCTTTGAATCACTTAACTACAATATTTGCTTTATTGTGGTGGTCTGAGGGCGCCTGGTGGCTCAGTTGGTTGAGTGTCTGACTCTTGAGCTCACAGTTTGTGAGATTGAGCCCATGTCAGGCTCTGTGCTGACAGTGTGGAGCCTGCTTGGGATTCTCTATCTCTGCCCCTCCCTCATTCGCATTCACACATCTGTGCTTGCTCGCTCTCTCTCAAAATAAATAAACAAACATTTATATAAAAAAAATATTGTGGTGGTCTGGAACCAAACCTACAATATCTCTGAAGCATGCCTGTATTGGGTAAAGAAGTCAATATTGGTGCCTGTGTTTACAGTGATGTTCAGTGAATGGATTTTACCTCTGAATTTTTCAGTTAGTAGATGATTCCTGGTCCAGAAATCAAGAGAATTATACTTTAGTCTAGAATTTGCTACCAAGTAGATGTGTGAACATGAGAAAAATGGTGTTTTTCATGTTTCCAGGTGGTCTTAGTTTTGGTAAAGGAAGTGATTTCAGTAGAGCAGGGTAGGGGGTATTATTTAGTGTTTTCAAACCGGGACCTTTTTGTTATAGAGTATCTGCACGTTTTGCTTCAGAAAACACTGGCCTAGAGAATCCTGCTCTAATATTCTGTGATTACTGCATAAGTGGATATTTTACAAACACAGGCGCTTCAGAGAACTACCTGCCCAGAGCAACTAAAGAAATTACTCTTTTCTTTTTTTAAGAATTTGTTTTTAATTATTTTTGAGAGAGAGGGAGAGCACAAGTGGAGGAGGGGCAGAAAGAGAAAGGGAAAGAATCCCAAACAGACTCCATGCTGTCAATGCAGAGCTCGATATGGGGCTTAATCCCACGACCTGATCCCATGACCTGAGCCAAGACCCAGAGTTAGACGCTTAGCCTAGTAAACCACTGATGCACCCTAGAATTCATTATTTTCTAAGTAGAACATTTATATTAAGCAGTAAAACGGAAAGAAATCTGTGAGTTTTTCATTGTGAATAAATAGATGGGATTATCTTCTCTTTCAGACTTTGGTTTGAGCTTTCATATATGCTGTTTGTGTTTCATAACATGAAGTAGGTTGTTCTTAAGTGAGGTTTTGGATCGACACTAAAAGAACATAAGAACTTAATTCTAACAAATTCACATTATTGTATGAGAATGACCAGAACTTTTAAGATTTGATGTGAACAAATTTATAAATTTTTTGTTGGTAATTAGACGTCCAGTTAATTTGCTTGCTAAGTATATAAACATTATGTATGTTATAGATAGAATATATATAAACATTATGTTAAGGATAGAATGCCTTAAAAGTACTGTCTTACAGGTCTTGCGTCTATAAGAACGATCAAGCTGCAAAAGATAATCCAAGTAAAAGTCTTCAGGAGGAAGAGCCATGTCCAAGATTTGCCCATCAGCTTGTATATGATGAGTTACATAAGGTACCCTAACTGCATCGGCCTGTAAACTTTCCAAGACTTATAATCTGAAAGAATCCCAAAATAGGTTTCTTAGTATTTTTAAGTGTATTTGAATAAAAAGTTATAATACATAGCAGACATCCATAGAATATGTAGCAGACATTCAATATCATTTCTCTCTAAACTCCTTAATAGAATAAACACTTTCCATAGTCCAAAATTCCTGGCATTTATTCTGTTTGTTTTGTAGCTGCATAGATCAGATTCATAGTATAACCTATTATTTCTGCACTACGAATACCCAAGTAAAAGATGTACAGTTTTTAGCATTAGGATACCTTGTCCCATGATACGAAAAAGTATATGTAACATCTGACTTTAGATTTTCCCATTGTGTACGAAGTCTTTCTTTTTTCCCCTATGAGTGATGTGTCTTTTCAATTGGCCTCATGAAAACAGTCTTGCATTCTGAAGTTTTAGTCACTAAATGTTCAGAGTGGTTTCTTTAAACTATGTCTCCCTTAAACCTTACATGTAGTTCAGTGAATGTTTTCAAAATTTCAGGAACTGCTTTAACACTTTGTATAAGTACAGAATATCACTAAAATTATAATAGTGAAATCATTATTGTATTCCTTTTTCATTTCCTTTTTTTGGTATTGAATAATATAATATTTTAAAAAGTATCACCAATTATATACATCATTTAATATTTGGCAGTAAACCTAAAAAAATTAAGATGCTAAAATTTAAAAAGTTTCTAGTTACTCTTGACCTTCAGTGATTCAACATGTGTGTCAGAGTTTTATTAAACCTCTTGTTTGTTATTATGACCAGCACTTGTTTAAATTAATAATCCCCATATTTATTGCCCTAAATAAACTCTGTATCTTGGATTAGCTTCTTACTGTCATTGCTTTTGCTTCAGGTCTTCCATTGTCAGTATAATTGTGGTAATACAACTCATTTTAACATAAAATGCAGAGTATTTAAGGAAGTAGCCATAGGATTTTAAAGTAAAATGGGAACAAGAAAAATCAAAAGAAACATTTGGTAGAAATGCAGTAATGTTTTACTACTGTTACACACGGCTACTAAAGTGAAGAAATTTTATTAGGACTTCCGTAGCTTCTTGAGTATGCTTGCATCTTAAAATGTGGCTTGTTTTGTTTATTATAGGTTCACTATTTATTTGGTGGGAATCCAGGAAAATCTTGCTCCCCAAAGATGAGGTTAGATGACTTCTGGTCACTGAAGTTATGTAGGCCTTCAAAAGATTACTTACTGAGGCACTGCAAGTACCTGATAAGAAAACACAGGTATAAAAATAATTCACTGAAAACTTTTATTTAACGTTATCAGCTACTGTTGGTATTACCTACATTTTGAAGATATGACTTTGTCTCTGGAAATTTAGTAATATGACAGTGTACGTACTGTGAAGATCATGAGTTTTATAACTACCCTGTTGTTTTCCTTATTTTTGCTTTCCTCTTTCAAAGGAAGATACAAAGTGAAAATACGTACTGATGCTAAAATTTTCTAAATATAGAACAAGGAAATTTTGAAACTGTTAAATGGAAGAAATTTCTATGAAGGTGATGAGCCTAACCTTCCAGTAACTACTCACGGCCTAATCACTACAAATCACATCAGTTCTAGATTCTTGCTGTATGCCTGGCCTGTTGATAGCTTTCTTAACAGTGGATGTGATGGTATGGTTGACTAAATGGTATCTAATCTGGTGTTTCACAATACAACTTCAAATATGATTGTGATTTTACATCGATTATCTTTGCCATTTAATTGTAAAATCATGTCAGCAAACATTTTCATATATATCTCCTGGTCATGTTTGCTTTTTAGTAGTGAGTGATAAGCTACTGAAAAATGTAGAAAAGCATGTGTGTCCTTTTGGTTATTGATAGTGTTCTGTGGTAATCAAAATTTATAGTTTGGAAAGAGTTTAGACTTTGATGATAATAGCTACTGTTTATTGAGCAATTTTTGTGTGCTAGATCTTGTATATTATTCCTATAATAAGGTAATTGAATAAGTTCTGTTATTATCACTATTTTGCAAAAGAAAAAATGAGGTGTTTTTAAATGGGTTATATAATTCATCTAGGATCACTCAGCCATAAGTGACACAGCCAGGTTGTGATCCTGACTATTGTAACTCCAGAGTTCATCACCTTACTGCCACTGTGACTACCACACAGCATACACAGATGTCTTTGTGTATACTTATATACACAGACACGTTCAGATGTCTGTTATATATAATGTATTTATGTTTTGTATAGAATATAAGTAGGCATAAGTTATTAGACTGTTTTCCTTTATCATATCATGTTTACTTACTGTTCCTTTCTCTGCTTTCCCAAGTTGTGCTTGAGAGGAAAATTAGTAACAGAAGCTAGGTATTCTGTTACTTTGGCATTACTGTGAATAAATAGTGTATTTCCTATAGAATCTACAGGAGAAAGGGTCTGAATCTTCACATTGGCTGGATGACAAGAGATAAATTCTGTTTTATTAATAAGATTTAATGAGGCACTGTCAACTAATGTTTACATTGCTAAAATGTTATTCCTTAATATTTTACTTAATGTTAAAGTTAAGTTTTTATAAGGAGACAAATTTGGGGAAATTTTAGTGTTCTTTTTCTACTACATATATAACAACTGGTAATTGGAATATTAAGTTAAGCTCTTTTTAAAAGATTTCCTGACCAAAAGCCCATTAGAAATTAAAGGAGATTTTTTTTTTTTAATGTTTATTTTTGAGAGAGAGAGAGAGGTGTGAGCTAGTGGGGGAGAAGCAGAGAGAGAGGGAGACAGAGGAAATGAAGCAGGTCATCAGTTCTACCAATACACTGACAGCAGAGAGTCTGATGTGGGACTCGAACTCATGAGCTGCAAGCTCATGACCTGAGCCAAAGTCAGACACTTAACCAACTAAGCCACCCAGGTGCCCCTAGATTAAAGGAGATTTTTTAGTACTATATGTAAAGAATTGGAACTCACTTTATAACCACTTTCCTCTGGCTTTTAATTGAAAAAAATTAATGCATAGTTAATTAAAAAAGTCCTCTTACCCTTCAAAATAATTGAATCATCATCCCATTATTGAGGAAAAAACAACTTACTGTTTTGTAAGTTTTATATTTGCACACGTAGATTCTTGTTTTGTTTAGCCGAAAAACAGGAATCCTATTGCTTTGAATCTGATTTCTTTTAATGAATGATATATTACAAATATCACCATCTTAATACAAATTATGATTATAATGACTGCAATAGTGTTCTATTTTATGTGTAATTTACTTAACTAGTCTACTTGGATGAAATATTTAGATTATTTCCAGTTTATTTGCTATTATAAGTAATACTGTATTTAATATTTTTATATTCTTCCATCTGTACCCCTATCTAAAAATTCTGTAGGATATTGGTAGAATTGATGAATTATCAGTTGCCCTCCAGAAAGTTAATTTTCATTCCTTCCAGAAATAAATAGGGTTATTCATTTTCTCACAGCCAAGCCATTTTAAGAAGTATTATTTTTTTAATCTTTGACAGTTGTTTTTCTCTTTTGAAAATATATCAGTTGGGGGCACCTGGGTGGCTCAGTCTGTTGAGCGTCCGACTCTTGATTTTGGCTCAGGTCATGATCTCACAATTTGTAGGTTCTATCCCCATGTCAGTCTCTGTACTAACAATGTGGAGCCTGCTTGGGACTCTCTTTCTCCCTCTCTCTCTGCCCCTCCGCAACTCATGCTCTCTATCAAAATAAATAAACATTTAAAAAAAAAAAAAAAGAAAATGTATCCGTGGACAGACTAAATGACAATTTGTGGGAATCTGAAATATTGCATATTATGGCATGTTTTAAATTTTAATAAAGCACAAACATCATTGTTAGTGGCTTATGCTGCTAAAAAGGCATAAAAGTAAGGAATGCAAGTGGATAATGAATAAAAGAATAACTGGTAACAAATCATTTAAAACTTTAAATATAGGATAAAAGACTCAAATTTTCTGAATATTAAAATGGTTCATAAATAGTAACTGAAGCTGAGAAGCAACAAGTTTGTGTGACTGAACAAAGAGGCAGCCTTTGAAATTTTCTACATGGGAAAAGGAGTATGCTAGCCCATCTCAGAAGGAAACCAGAAAAGCCAGAAAAGGAGCATTTAAGAATATTTAAAGACCCCCCCCCATCCATTTATATAGATTATTTTCTTTTTTTTTTAATTTTTTTTTTTCAACGTTTATTTATTTTTGGGACAGAGAGAGACAGAGCATGAACGGGCGAGGGGCAGAGAGAGAGGGAGACACAGAATCGGAAACAGGCTCCAGGCTCTGAGCCATCAGCCCAGAGCCCGACGCGGGGCTCGAACTCACGGACCGTGAGATTGTGACCTGGTTGAAGTCGGACGCTTAACCGACTGCACCACCCAGGCGCCCCTATATAGATTATTTTCAATTAGAATAGTAATAGTAGCATAAAACTGTGGAGCACAGTATTCTTTTTTTCTGATTGTGAGACTTTTTGACATTAGTGCTGCGAGCTAATGTCTTATATTGGAAAAAGTACTAGACCTGAACCTTGGATTGATCTTCAAGCCTTGTAACTTAATCTTTCTGGAGATCACTTTGCTCATGTATAAAATGACCAAAGCATTCACCTAAGGGTCTTTATAAACATCAGTGAAACTTTATTTATTTAAGAAAGTTAACTGAGCACTTACAGTGTGCTAGACATCGTCCTAGACTCTGTGGATATGTCAGTGAAGAAAACAAACAAAAATTCCTGCCCCAAGTTTCTATTTTAGGAAGGAAGACCGGTAATAAACATAATAAATTTATGTTAATAAGTATAATGAACTAAAACAGGTGAAGAACTATTTTGTACAGATGATTTTTAAATAAAAATATTAGGATAGACCTCACTGCAAAGGTGACATTTGACTAGTGACCTGAAGAATAGGAGGGAATGAATCATGTAGATATTTGAGAAGAAGAGTATTCCAGATAGGTAATAGACAAGCCTCTAGGGTTAAAAATATGCCTGGATTATTTGAGGAATAAATTGAGGAAGACAGTGTGGTGAAAGTAGAATGAGTAGGGCGATTGTGGGAGGAGATGAGGTCAGAGTGATAAGAAGGGGACAGCTGGTGAAGAGTCTTTGGCTTTTACCCTGAGTGAAAGGAAAAGCATTGAAAGATTTTATGTAGAAGAATAATAACACACTCAGTCTTCTTTTAATAAAACCATTCTGGGTTTTCTTCCAAAAGAACTGAGTAAAAGGTTGTGGCTGTTTTCACTCAGATGAGGAATTCTTCAAAAACAACAGGTTCGTGTGTCGGGAAAGATGAGTTCAGTTCAGTGCACTTTAGGTTTTAGAGATCATCTGTTAGCATTTGGAGGAAAGGCATGGGCCGATTATTACCTTTATGAGTCATCAACAAGGAAAAGGAATTTGCTTCAAGAGCGTGAGAAGAGTAGAGAGATGTCAGGCCTTCTCTGAAGACCATCACCATTTGAGGGATGGTGGAGGAAGAGACACTCCATAAAAGAGATCAAGAAGGCCCAGTAAGATTCTGGATAAGCTTTGAAGATTGCACCAACAGAATATCTTGATGGACTGGACATGGGTAGGAGAAGAGAGCAGTCAGGGAGCAGGTAGGGCATCTTGAGAATCTTGTCTGCTACTAATTTCAACATACAATAAAAGTCCCATTTTATTTTATTTTATTTATTTTATTTTATTTTATTTTATTTTATTTTATTTTATTTTATTTTATATTTATTTTATATTATTGTTTTAAGATTTTATCTTTACGTAATCTCTACCCCCAGTGTGGGGCTTCAATTCACAACCCCGAGATCAAGAATCACATGCTCTATCGACTGAGTCAGCCAGGCACTCCTGTTTTAGATACTTGAAAAAAACATAGACCACTTTTTATACCAACTCTTAGATGAATTCAGGAGTTTGAGGAACACTGATACATTGCAGGCAGAATAAACAGAAGTTGTTTTATATGAATTGAGTAGAGCATGAAAATTACCTTTTTAATTTAAATTTCATATTAGATACCTAGTATTTCATTATATGAAACCTTACCCTATACTACTGGGCTAGCTTGTTTATTTCTGGTGTTCTTATGGAAAACGTTTATGTATTCTGTTTAGTTAAAATATAAATTTAGAGGGAGAGAAGTATATTGTATGCCAAGAAATCTGTCTTTATTCTTAATGGTACTGCACAATACAGTAAATAAAGTGCCACAATCATTTTTTCTTGTAACGTTCAAGTTTCCAAATTTGTCGATGATTTGGGGGTAGAAAGGAGCAAAAGAAAAACTTTTTTATAGGATTAATTCCTGTTCCTTTCAGTACAGGGTCCAGTTGTTGGCCTAAATAGAATTCTAGATCGCAGACATAAGTCCAATGATAAGTTTTTGCAGGCTAAAGAAAGCTTAGAAAAAAGATGAGTGAAAACATACCTTCCGGGAAAATGGGTTTCTTGACTGGATTTAATAGGATGGTAGGCACGTTGGTTAGGTTATTTCAGGTAGCAAAGGATAAAGACATTCTTAGGATCCCTCACTAGAAGAGAAATGATTATGAGAATATCCAGAGAATTAAGGCATTCCCTCAGCATTTGGACAGTGAGGCCTAATGGAGAATCGTTTAGCGTCTTAGAACAATTCTAGTGAGGAGCCACTATAATAGCTTTCCTTGTAACTCAGCCTCTTGTCTTTCTGCTTCTTTCCACCTACTTCTCCTGTTCTGCTGATTATTACAGTCTCTGCTTTCCCTAACCTAGCATCCATCCATGCATGCATGGATGGATGGATGGGTGGGTGGAAGGAAGGAAGGAATCGATAGATGTAGCTTTAGTAAATAAATAGGTAGGTAGATAGGAACAAAGGAAGGCAAAGAGGGGTAGGAAGGGAAGGAATCTACCTACCATGTCATGCCTTTTGTTTACTGACTTGTGTGTTTTGTGTGCCTTTTGTGTCCTTGTGTATCTCACGTTCAGATTCTTTAAGAGAGTACCTTCTTAGGGCTCCCTGGAGATAGTATCCCTATTGGGAATAATTCTGCCAGGACACTTTATAAACTGATCAAGCTTGAGAGGATTGCTTTCGTCTCAGGTGCAAAACTGGTCTAAACCATTTTGGACAAGATGGTAGAGTAACATGACCTCTGCCCAAGGAGCTCTCTCATCCGAGGGCTTAAAGGCTAACTGACAATCATGGCACTTATCTGATATAATACAGCTGTAATATTTTGCTAGTCTTTGCCCTGCTTGAAATACAGGTATTCTATCACTGAGATTAACTCTTAAAGACAGGAAATTATTGATGCCATCAGCCTGGACACCATTGTGAAAGTCTCATTATTTTCCTCACCCAAATGAAATTGTCTTCTCTACTTATTCTCTATACAATATTTTGAAAAACATCCTAACTTATTAGTTATTAATAAATCCATATATAATTATAACAATGGGATAGTATCTTATTTAAATAGATAAATAGTCCCAAGCAGACTTTTATTCTTTTGCAGAACTAACGCATTGTTTCTTTTTTAGCTCTTATATTGGCCAAGTTCATTGTCTGAACCTCAGTTTCTTATCTGTTTTTTAAAAAATGATAATAAAACATCGTCATCGTAACGGGGATAAATGAACTAATATATGTAAAATACTTGATACATTGTCTAGCATATAACAAATACTTGATAAGTGGTTGCTACAATTGTTATTGTTATTGACTGAGACAGGAAATAATCTTGTTAAAAATATTTGAGCAATTTAAAAAATATATATATATTCAATCAGTGTCCATGATACTCGTGAAAAGAAAGTATACTCATGTCTGTTTCTGACCTGTTAAGGACCTCTAATGGAATGTATATTGCACAAATCTAATCAAGTATTTTTATTTTATCTCTACTTGTTTCTCATGAAACATATTTGGCTCTTTTGCAGTTTTGTTATGTAAAATATTTGACATGTTCACTATGTTTTGTAGTTGATTTAATCTTAGCTTGTAGTTTTAAGAAGAGGGTAGGAGGTACTCCTACCCAGTCTCTCGCTCCACAGCTGCCTGTGACCTCCTGGCATCACCATGACATCTCCAGGAACTCCACAGCTGTACTGTCTCCATGGCAGTATTCTTACTTCTGGATTCCCAAACACAGGGGTTTTTTTTTTAGATATCTACAGTGACTCCTTAGACACAACATTCTACTCCAGGTCTGAATGACATTTCTGATGTTTTCTCATAACTCCAGACAATTATTGTTCTTGTTTACATTTTCTAGGTTTGAAGAAAAGGCCCAAATGGATCCCCTTAGTGCTCTGAAATATTTACAAAACGATCTTTATATAACTGTGGATCATTCAGACCCAGAAGAGACAAAAGAGGTAAAAGTGATAATAAACTTCAGAAAGTGAGCATTAAAAGAAAAAAAGTCTTTCTAACTCTTACTTGCTGATTTTGCTCTTAGATGTTTAAAGGAAAATGGGGAAAATGGGATGACACTAATAATTTTTAAAATGGCATAGAGCAGGGGGTACCTGGATGGCTCAGTCGGTTGGGTCTCTGACTCTTGATTTCAGCTCAGGTCATGGCCTTTCAGTTTGTGGGTTCGAGCCTGCGTCAGGCTCCACACTGACAGCATGGGGCCTGCTTGGCGCGCGCGCGCTCTCTCTCTCTCTCTCTCTCTCTCTCTGCCCCTCCCCTGC